AATAATAATAATAATAATAATAATAATAATAATAATAATAACAACAACAACAACAACAACAATAATGACAACAACAATAATAACAATAATGCAGCAACAATGAAAAGAAACAGAGATAACATGAAGTAAAAGCTGCCCTGTTTTCACCCCACAAACTATCTTTTAAAACGCAATGAAACCAAAAAAAAGTGAAATATACCAATTACAGCCGAAAATTTGAAAAAAAAAGACATGTTCAGCATTCTGTGTAAAATGAAAATAAATGAACTTACGCGTAATCAGGTATACGAGAGCAGATTCGAACAACCACCACTGGTTTTAGAATTTCGTGCTTCCCAACTATGATTTTATAGAAAGATAATGTTCCATCGGTCGATGTTACAGCCACATATTCATCACTGGGATCGAATGAAACGCACATAACTTGTCCATCCAGTTCATCCCGGATCATCTCCTCCGTTTCCAAATTTATCAATTTCAGGACATGATCACTAGAAACGAGGCAAATTATTGCAGTTATATGTGTCCATAGGGTACCTATAAGTTAGCGATACGCTTTCATGCTAAAAGTCCAAGGTTCGACTTCTCCCTCCTACCAGCATGCATTGTTCGGTTTGTGTTTACAGCTAAGGGATGAAACATAGACTAACTAAATCGCAAAATGTTCTCCGGCTTATGACATTTAAGACCAATCCTTCTACTATTTCATCAAGTGGGACAACCAAATCCCTCCCCCACAATTCAGTTATTTTTTTTTTAGAAATTAAAATAACATGATAAAAGCCAGGTAACTAAAATCGTCATCAGCTTGATTTTACAGCAATATTCGAAGGAGAGAGCCATCGACAGCCTTGCCATACGGAGTAGTTGCTGTTAGCACTTGCTATCTACCATTTGGGCTGATTCGAATTGCCTATAGTCTTTAACAGAGAGTAAAACGTGGAATGTTATAATAATACAGCTGGCTTCTCAGTGTCACCGGAAAATCGAATTTTCATTTTTTTTTTTTGTGGTAATGGTAAGAAATGTATACGATTTAATGGACCAAAACGTTTCTTACTATTACAACAATCTCACAAATTTTCTAATTTTCATTGCTTATCTTCCTTTTTTTCCCTTTTTTTTCCATTCTTTCCCATTATAAAGCTCTATTACTTAGCTATCCCACGATCAACTTTTGGCTGATTTTCTCTTATGCGTACCAATCCTTATCGGAGAATGCTACAAAAGATCAGTAATAAATGAGTTGAAAATTTACACAAGCGATGGATAGCAGAAAAACATTTTAAAGTTGGAAGGAGACAAAAGCAAATAAAATTAAAAAATCAGTAAATGTAAAATATCTTAATAGAACTGTTATAATGGCAAGAAATGTTTCGGTCCAACAAGATAAATTTGGCAATTCACTTTGGGAAAAAAAAAACGAAAAATAAAGCAAAAAAAAAAACTAATACTAGAAAATTTTATGAACAATAAAATCAATAAAATTCGCCTAAAAAACAAGGAAAGCATTTGTTGGCTTACATGGAACCGGCAGCTAATATTTTCCCGGAATTCGAAATATCAATGCAGCTAACGTCCAATGAAAAAATTGTGATCGGAACCGATGTCTTGAAAGTTTGCCTATCAAAACGGGAAACTGTTGCTTTCTGGACAGCTGTTCGAATATCGGTACTTGTATGGCCGATGTAGATGTTGTTACCCTTAAAAAAAGGAAAATGAAATCCACTTAAAAAAAAACACTTAGAAATTTACCAGCTCTAAAAATCTCGGTTATCTAATATCCAGGACGCAGTATTTTGTCGATTTCAAGGAAAACTCTAAAAATCTCTACGAATTTTCTGCAAAGCCGGTCAAGAAAACTTACGAACAAATATAGAGGATATTAAGATCTTACGGATAATCGGTGTTAGTGATACTACTGATATGCTCCCACAAACGGGCGCATTTAAGCCAGGCCTATCGATGATGGGTTGATACGTTTTATTACCTAATTTGTTTCATTTTTGCAAAATTAATAAAACACAAAAAATTTTCTGGCATACTTCCACGGCCGTCCCATGTTTCCCACGGTTCGCAGTGGCTGTTTACTTCAGAAATTACGATTTGGCCTACCAAAAGCCGAAAATTATCTGTCAATTTAATCCAGCCCGGCCGCTCCATTTGGTCCATCCATTTATAATTCGGCCCTCTAATGGCCGTTATTTTTTTTTTTTTCATTCTGTAAGAAAATTAATATTCTCAGGAGCCAGTTCCACCCATCCCAAATCAGCGTAATCTCCTCCTCAGGCCAAAACCTTGTTAAATCTTCAAAATCCTCCAAGTCCACATTCACCATGGACCAACCTTTAAGATAAAAAATTACCAAAAAAATTCATGTAATATTTAAAACGTATTTTTTAATGAACGAGCTTGCAAGGGAATCAAAGAAAAAATAACGAAAAAAGAGTCAAAAAGATTTTTAAAGTAAAAAATTACCTTAAAAAATTTCAAAGGTATTTTTAGGTTTCACATGAATTTTTTTATTAACAAGGCAAGAAATAATAAAGTTAAGGAAGCCAGAAAGACTTTTAAAGTAAAAAAAAGGTATTTTTAGATCTCACATGAATTTTTTTTTTATTAAAAAGTGTTTTTAGTAAACGGTTGCAAGGCAATCAAAGAAATAATAAAGTTAATAGAGCCAAAAAGATTTTTAAAGTAAAAAAAATGCCAAAAAAAATCCCCGCAAAATCTAAAATGTGCTTTTAATGAACGGTTACAAGGGATTCAAAGAAACAATAGCAAAAAATGCCAAAAAAACTCAAGTAAAAGTAAAAAAGAAAATATCAAAAAAATCATGCAAAATCTCTACGGTATTTTTAGATTTCACATTAATTTTTTTATTAAAAAGTATTTTTAATAAACGGTTGCAAGGCAATCAACGAACTAATAAAGTTAAAAGAGCAAAAAAGACTTTTAAAGTAAAAAAAAAATGCTAAAAAAATCATGTAAAATCTGAAAAAATCTAAAAAAAAATGTAAAATGTGAAATCTACGGTTGCAAAGCAATCAAAGAAATAATAAAGTTAAAAGACCCAAAAAGACTTTTAAAGTAAAAAAAAATGCCAAAAAAAATCATGTAAAATCTGAAAAAATCTAAAAAAATGTAAAACCTAAAATATGTTTTTAATAAACGGCTGCAAGAGGACCAAAGTGGATCAAAAAGGGTAGTAAGCGATAAAATCGAAAAAATAAATTTATCCACCAAAAGTGATAATGATAATCATTGCTTCAGAAATATGATAAGAACAGGACTGGGCATATGCGAAAAGCCTCCTTACATGCCATGCAACTGCACAATGCGTTCGTTCGCGGATATTTTTCGGATCATATTCGGCTTCATTCAACTCATCACCTGTCCAAAACCATACTTCACCATCTGTACCCGTTGACAGAAATGACTGGAAATTTTTTTTTTTTTTGCTTTCTTTTTACAAAAAAAAATTTTTTTCTAAAAATTTAATGTAAAATAAAGTAATATTAATTTTAGTTCATTAAAATTGCGCAAAGTGAAAAAGGAGTTGATTAATTGGCTTTATGGGCAAATTTTTCTTTTTTTTTGCTTTTTTTAACAAAAAACTTTTTCTAAAAAATGAATGTAAAATAAAGTAATATTAATTTTAGTTCATTAAAACTGCGCAAAGTGAAAAAGGAGTTGATTAATCGGCTTTATGGGCAAATTTTTTTTTTTTGCTTTCTTTTTACAAAAAAAAATTTTTTCTAAAAACTGAATATAAAATACAGTAATATTAATTTTGCTTCATTAAAGTTTTTACTAATAAAGAGACTGGCCAGATACTGGTTATCTTCTTCATGGGAATTGTCCTTGCTCATTTTGTGACGA